CTAACCCTAATCCAAACCCTAAACACAACCCTAGACCTAATCCTAAACCAAACCCTAACCCTAAACATAACCATAGCCCAATCCCTCACACTAAACCTACCCTAAAAATAACCCTAACCTTACTCCTTACCCTAACCTTAACTCTAACCATAGCCTGAAAGCTAATCCTAATCCTAGTACTAACTGTAACCAAACTCCTAACTCTTACCCTTAACAGAACCTTAGCCCTAATCCCAACCCTAAACCTAGTCCTAACCCTAACCCTAACCTTAAACATAAACCTAACCCTACACTTAACCCCAATCCTAACCCTACAACACTAACCTTAATCCTAATCCTAAACATAACCTAAGACCCAAACATAACCCTAAACTTAACCCTCAATCTAACCCTGATCCTGCTAATCATAACCTTACCGCTGAACATAAACCTAGCCCTAATTCCTACCACAGTCCTAAGATTAACCCTAGCCCTAAACCTAAGCCTAAACTACATATAAACCTAGCTCTAAACATGCCTCTAAACTAACCTTAAGACTCACACTAATCCTAGCCCTAAATCTAACCTAATTCAAGCCCTAAACCTAACTGAAATCAAACCACTTAACATAACCCTAAACATAATCCTAGCCTTAACCCTAAATCTAAACCTAACCCTAAACCTAACATAATCCTCATTCCAGCCTCATCCTAACCTTATCCATAACTCTGACCCTACCCCTAACCATAACCGTATCCCTAACTCCTACACTAGACCTCCCCCTAATCTAAATCCTAACCCTATCTCTAAACCTAAGCCTGAACATTCATATAACCCTAGCTCTAACCCTGTCTCTAAACCTAACCCTGATGGTAGCCATACCCATAAACCTAACACTAATCCTAGCCTAAACCTAACAATAGATCTAGCACAATCCCTAAAACTAAACCTAACCCTAAAAATAACCCTGCCTCTAAGCTGAACCCTAAATGTAGCCAAAGACCTAAAACTAACCTTAACTGTATAACTAATCCTAGATCTAACCCTGACCCTAATGCTATTAACCTTTGACCTAAACATAACTCTAACACTAGCCCTTTCCATAAAATTATAACTAACCCTAGACTTAGGACAAAACCTAACCCTAATCCTAACCATTAACCTAAACCTAACCCCAAACATAACCCTAGCCCTAACCCTACCTCTAACCTTATATCTAATCCTAACCCTAGCCACAGGCCTAAATTAAACTAACCCTATCCAAAACACTAACCCTAACCCTATCCCTACCTCTAACCCTAATCCTAAACTTAACCCTAACCCTAGACCTAATGCTAACCCTAAACCTAATCAAAATCTGATCCTAAACATAAGTGTATCTCTAACACTAACCCTAACCCTAAACCCAACCTTAACTTTAACCCTAATCCTAAACCCAGCCCTAAGTCTAACTGTAGCCTAACCCTACGTCTAAACATAACCCTAAGCCTAAACCTAGACCTAGCCCTGAACCTAGCAGTAATCCAAGTTCTAAACCTAACCATAAGAACTCTCAACCTAACCCTAACCCAAACCCTAGCTCTAAAGCCAACCCTCACCCTAACCTTAACCCTAGCCCTATCCACAAACCTAACATTAACCTTTGCCTTATCCCTAACCCAAACCCTAACCTTAAACATAACACTTTCAGTAACCTTAACCCTAAACCTAGCACTATCCCTAAACCTAGCACTATCCCTAAACCTAACCCTAACCCTAAACATAACCCTACCTCTACCCGTAACGCTAAACCTAACACTAGCCCTCTTACCCTAAACTAAACAGAACCCTAGCCAAAACTTTAACACTAAAACTAGCACTATCCCCAAAATTAATCCTAACCCTAAACATACCCTACCTCTAATCCTAACCTTAACCCTAAACCCAACCCTAACTCTAATCCTAACCCTACCTCTAAAACTAACCCTAAGCCTAGCCCTGAATCTAACAACAATCCTAGCCCTAAATCTAACCACAAGAACTCTTAACCTAACCCTAACTCTAATCCAAGCCCTAGCTCTAATGCTAACTCTCACCCTAACCTTAGCCTTTGCCCTAGCCCTATCCATAAACCTAACATTAACCTTCGCCCTATCCCTAACCCAAACGCTAAACATTACCTTTTCAGTAACCCTAACCTTAGCACTATCCCTAAACCTAACCCTAAATATAACCCTACCTCTAACGCTAAACCTAACACTAGCCCTATCACCCTAAAGCAAACATAACCCTAACCAGAACCTTACCACTAAAACTAGTACTATCCCTAAAACTAACCCTAACCCTAACCCTACCCTACCTCTAACCCTAACCCTAGTCATAGACCTAAACCTAACCCTAAAACTAACCCTAGACCTAATCCTAACCCTAACCCTTATATTAAGCTTTGACATAAACCTATCTGTAACATTAGGGCTAGCCATAAAAATAACCCTAACCCTAATCCTTAACCTAAACCTAACACTAACCCTAACCCTAGCCCTAACACCAACCCTAAACCTAGCCCTAACCCTAATCCTAACCCAAACCCTAACCCCTACCCCTAAGCCCTAACCCCTACCCTAACCCTAACCCGACCCTGACCCTGACCCTAACCCTCACCCCTACCCTCACCTCTACTCTCACCCACTAACCAACCTAACAACCCTAACTCTAACCCCCCCAATGCTATCATGGTGCTGGAGATTAAACTCTGGACCTTATGCATGCTACGCAAGTAGTCTCTCACTAAGCTAGGCAACAAGCCCCACTCCATCATAAAACTTTAGAAAAGAAAAACCATTGTTAAAGGCAATCTTTGTGTTATTTTCCTGATATATTTTCTAACTTATGAGCTAAGGAAACAGTTGTGAAGGGTGTCCGGTAATTTTAACAGGGGCTAACATTTTTGGTAATTTAATGAATTTTAGATTTGAAGAAATTCTACACTGATTCTTTAGATCCTTACTGAAATGATCCAGACTATACCACTTAATATATCCTCAACAAAAATAAAATCCTTTTGTTCTACAGACCATGGTTAAATAGCATCAGATTAAATTTGACCCTGGTAAGAACTTCTTAAGCAACTGTTATTCTTAAATTTTATTAATGAATTTAAGTTGTACATCTATAATAGGTGTCTTAAAAAGCATTATTATACACGAACAGAGCAATGAACACTTAAGTAAATTGATCACTAAAGCATGCATACCAATTTTACTGAACAGTGTATAAGAAAGGAAAATAAGTTTTAAGCCCATTTCTTTGAAAATTATTTGTCAAATGTTTTTCTAAAATGAATACATTTTCAATAGGAAATAGTGATACAACTACAAGGCATTAGTGCTGATTTAAAAAAAAAAGACTGGAGAAAAAATTCAGGCTATGCATTATCAACAAAACAAGAATTCCTGTGTATCTAACATATCTCAAATAAATGAAGAAGGTAGTGAGAACTGAATGTTTTAGAACAGGTACCGAGAACCTGACTATAGGACACCTACATATTCAAGGCACATGACTAGGCTAAACAGGTGGCTGGGTTCAAAATACTTATTTAATTGGGAAAAGAGTAAAATGTAGTATCACTTCCATTTAACTGCACATACTGATAAATAAAATGCAATTATATCTGTGGGAATTAATGCTGCCCTTTCAGATACACACCGACTACTTGATGAGTGATCCCAGAGCAGCTAAAGCAGCATTACACTCAAATTTTCTTTAGCCTCAATAAAATAGATGTTAAGCTACTTTGTATTATTTCCATACATCATACTGTCTATTCTCTTTCAGGTGTCATAATTCTTCAAAGATAGGCAGACTAAAGAATTTATTAAACCGTAAAACATGCTCAAACCATTATACAACAGGAGTCAAATTCAAACCCTGGAGTTGACTTCTGACTGTATTCAGCTTGGGTTTTTCATAGAATGGGAAAAAAATTTCCTACACAAATGCCTGTGTGCAGTCAAAATGCTCACACATTCACTGTGGCTACTTTTTCTTTGGTGAATCAGAGGGACCTCCCAATTCCTCCATTACCCATTCTATTAATATATTTGTCCCAAATACTTACAGAAAAAAAAGAATAGGTAAAACCCACAACCCTCAATTTGTTTAAATCATCTTCTCAAATCAAGTTTACAATGGAAAAGAAGAAGACATTAAACTATTTGCCATCGGAATAAAAGTTGAACTCAACTTTATTTCCCTAAAGTATATGCAAGGAGGACAAGGATAACTTGTGCTTCTAATGGGCTAGCAAAATGTTCCCCATGTGACTGAAATAAAAATTTTAATACTTTATCTGTCTGGGCTCCTGAATATAAGCAGCACCAACAATTTAATTACAATTCACAAAATAACTATTCTCTATATTGTCATGAAGCACCTAAAACTCTCCTATAACAAAAGACACTAAGATGTTAGTAATACAATTTGCCTCCTAATTTTTTTGTGTGAACATACAAAGTGCCTACACAGTTTTAGTAAACAGGTCATAAGACTGGTGGTTTCCACCTTGGCAAAAACTTTGTGCGTTAAAACCAAAAATGTCTTTGAAAATAGGTAAATCTACTTAATAAACCGAAGAAACAAATGCCCTTTCAAAGCTACTCCTATAAATCACGACTTCATTAGAATAGACTGCTTGATAGGACAAAGATAAACTTGGAGGCACAGAACACTATTAAAATAAGAAAAAGTGGAAAGATTGAAGAACGTGGCCGATATTTGTGAATAATGAAAAGCCTGAGTCATATGGATTAATTACTTTTATCTCCTTTTTCTCTCATATCTTTAGTTAATGGTAACTTTTTCTTTCTTATTTCTTCACACAGCTTGGCCATGTAAATCCACCACAGAGAAGTGACACAATGACATAGATAAACACCTGGAAAGAAAAAGATTTTATTTGACTCAATCATAAGCTTCAGTGTAATACATAAAGGTACACAAAACCCATTAAACAAACACTCCTGGTACCAGGACAGTAGTATTCTTTACTAATATAACCAATAATGAGACTGGCTCAAAAAGTAAATTAATTATTGTTCTTTAATTTTTTATTATTTTTCAATTTTTAAAAGATCTGTGCCAGGGCTGGAGAAATGGCTCAGCGGTGAAGAGTACTGGCTGCCCTTGCAGAAAACCGGGTTCAACTCTCCACACCCACATGGTGGCTAACAACTGCATGTAACTGTAGTTCCAGGGGATCCAACACACTCTTCTGACCTCCTTCAGCACCGCACAACAGGGGTAAACTTACACATATCTAGGCAATATATACATATACATATTTAAAATAAATGTGTGTGTGTGTGTGTGTGTGTGTGTGTGTGCGTGGTATGTGCACTTGTGTGTACAGGTATGCAAGCCTGTGAGCATGCATGTGGATGCCAGAGAATGAATGCAGTCTTCCTCTATCACTCTCCACCTTATTTTTTGAGACAGGGTCTCTCACTGAACCTAAAGCTCACCTTTTCAGATAGGCTGGTTGGCCAGCAAGTTCCCAGGATCCACCTGTCTCTACCCCATAATGGAGTTACAGGCATGTGTGTCCATGCCCACCTTTTTACAGGGGTGCTGGGGATTCAAACTCAGGTCCTCGTGCTTGCTATGCAAGCACTCTTATGCACTCAGCCACCTTCTCAGCCTCAGTTTTATTTATCTCATTACGTACTAGAATTCTCAACAGGAAAAAGGGGGTTTAAGTGGAGGTAATATATAACAGTGACTTCACAGGAACCTACTTCCTGATCACATGTTTTTCATAAAGGATGAATGTAGCTCATATCAGAGTGAAAATCATTAATAAAGAATCCTAGCATCTAATTTCTTGAATGAAAAATAAGATTACACACTAAAAAGACAAAAACTTACAATTGATATGATGATGATGATGATAGTGAGCTTGATATTCTTCATACACATGGCTCGAGCAAGATTTCTGCTGGTAGTTTTGAAAGTGACAGACTAGAAAACAATCGTCAACTATTTAATTCTTGGCACTGATAATATAAATGACTTGTAGTGACAACCTGAAAATTTTTACTTTCAACAATTCATTTATTGCGATTGTTCTAGGGCTGGAACCCAGTGCCTTGGGCAGGGTAGACAAGTGCTCTAGCAGTGAAGTTCAGCCCCAGTCCTACTTTCACTAATTCTGTTAAATCGAAATGTCCTTTTACCCTTCCTTTTCTTTTCAAGTGGAGACTGGTCATTCATAATCAGTAGTTCATCAGAGCAGGAGTCTTCAAGGCCTATCATAAGCACTATCAGTTCACTGGAAAGGCTTCACTTTTTTTCTTTTCTACTGTAGCAATACACATGATATTGAGTAAAACAAGTGATTCTTTCCACTAGTGGAGAAGCATTTTCCCCTTTAAGTTTCTAGTAAGAAAGGGTCCTTCTAAGTCAATTGGCTGCAAACACATTAACCTATTCTATCCAGTATAAGCATAGACCTTTGAACTATAGAAATATGTTTGATTTTCTTAGGAAGATAAGTACTTACATATTACAGGTCAAACACCCATAAGACTACATTCCTTCAGTTATCCATTTTCCTTTGTGCCATCACCTTCTCAGTATCTACTAAACCATTCTCACCAGGTTGCAAGCAGTTTAAAACAGGCAAATAACAAAGTGCATAAGCACCCGATAATTCTACTCCTAGGTATAAAGCCAACAGAAATGTATATGCAACTTTGCCAAGAGCCACATAAAATTTGACTACTTCTATATCGAAAAATGAAAACTAATCAAATATTCAAAATAACATAATAAAATAGCCATTAAAACAATCCACCAATATATTTATGCAATTAATCTACATATCATGGACAAATCTCAAAATTATGATAGAAAAAAATAGAGTAAATGCTGTAGTTCTTTTTTTTTTTTTTTTTTGGAGACAGGGTCTTATGTATTCTAGGCTAGCTATGTAATTAAGGATTACCTTGAACTCCTGATCTTCCTGCCTCTACTTCTGAAGAGCCGGGATTACAGGTATGCATCATCTCGTCTGGTCATGTGGTATTAGAGACTGAACCCAGGGCTTTGTCCACACTAAGCAATCAATCTACCAACTAAGCTACAGCCCTAGCCCTATAGCTTCTTAATCTATGGGGGAGAAATCAAAACAGAGGTCACCTTTGGAGGGGAACAGTGACTAGGAGAGTAGAAATGCACCTCCAGGGTTCTAGTCATACTATATTTTTTTGAGGCAGTCTCACTATGTAGCCGTGGCTGATCTGGAACTCAGTAAGGAGACTAGGCTGGCCGCCTCGAACTCAGAGATCTGCCTGCCTCTGAATCCTGAATGCTATGATTAAAGGTGTGCACCACCATGCCCAACCATACTCTAGTTCTTAATCTGGTTGTTGGCTCCATGAATATGTTTCTATATATTGTCAAATTACAAGCTGTTACTTAAGTTAATACACTCTTCTAGATGGCTATTACATTTCATTAACTACTTAAAGAAAATATGCTCCCTACACCCTACATGCATTTCCATTCCCTTTTCTATACAAAGTCTCTATAGTACAGCAGGTAACAAAAATTATCAGCCTGGGTTTAACTTAATGCAGAATGCACAGGATACCATGCACTAACCCAGTTGCTATGAGTATATACTACATGCCCAAAGTGACTACATCGAGCCCTAAATATGTACATCGAATGTAATATATACATTTAGTGGGGCATAGAAGAAAAATCTACATAATAAACAAAGGTTAAGGGATCAGAGAAAATGGCCCTTAATTGAACAAAGTGAACACAGAAAATAAGAGAATAACAGTGTTTAAAAAATATATATATATAATAATCATCTTGTATCAGTCAGGCTTTTGCAACAGTGTGTTCACATACTCCTAGAGGTGCAAAGACTTATTTCAGCTCATGGTTTCAGAAGATTCAGTCCAATCACTTGGCCCTATATGCTTGGCCAGAACATTACTGTGACAGGAGTGTGTGGCAGAGGGTACTCACCTCAGGGTAGACAGGAAGCAGAGAAAGGGAGACAGAAAAGGTCCTAGGACAAGACAACTCCAGTGACCTATTTCCTCCTACTAGGTCCCACCTCACAAAGTTTCTGGAAACTCCCAAAATAGCACCACCAACTGAATTCTCAAGGGTAAATTTAACAAAATCTACACAAGTCCTTTATTCCACAACTACAAAACACTGCAAAACCATTAGCAAAAGCAGGAACTCACAGGTATTACAGGCACAAAAGAGTACACATGATTGCATTTCTAGAAATTTTAAAAGGCAAAAGACCATACTGAAATATATCAGAAACAAAGTTCTCTCTATGCTGGGTTAGTAAGTGGGAGGGACATGGCTTCTGGGGTACTGGAAATGTTTTATGTTTTGATCTGAGTGGTGGTTACATGGATATAGATATATGTCAAAATAAACTGATGAACAGCTAGTGAAAATGTGGTGCATATACACAATGAAATAATATTAAGCTATGAGTAACTATGAAATTATGAAGCTTACAGATAAATGGATGGAGCTGAAAAATAATCATTCGGAGTGAGGTAACCACAGACCCAGAAAGACAAACGTTGCATGTTCTAATTATGTGGATGCTAGATTCGAATCATTCATATGTGTGTGTGTCTATTTAAATCAGAGTGCCCATTGAACACAGGACATTGGTAAGGGGCCAAGAGGGTGTTACAAGGGAAGGGGGACAGAATATAAGTAGTATGAAGGGGACTAGGGAATAATGGAACAGGAAAAGTTAAATGTGGTAAGGGATGGGGGCAGGGTTAGGGTGGAATACGGGGAGGGATAACTAACAGTAAAGACCTCTGAAAATGCCATATGGAAACCTACTACTATAGAAGCTTCCTAATATATACAGATACACATATATAAAAACTATTTAAATGGAATTACTATATAATGGGGACAATAGGTTTCAAATAAAAAGTCCAGTGCTAAGTACATGTTACCTCTTTTTGAGTTGTTGGTCAGTGGAGTCCACAGATACCCCTAAACATTATACGCTATTGCCACTGTTCCTGGTTAGCCTGCAGAAACTTGATAGTAAGACCTTACTGTTGAAGACAACACATATTTGAATCATAGGACACGGAGAAATCAAGCTGGTACTGACATGGAGGCTTCACCTCTACTGGCTACCTTACCCTGCTGTGAATACTGCTGCAAGGTACAAAAACAACTAGCCTGTCATACCTGGTAGGGTTAACTGGGGGGTGGGGGGGCGGTGGGGGGAGTGGCTGGCGAGGTCATTAAGCCCTAGTGGAGAACTTAATACTATTATTCTCCTAAATTAGGGGCATAATGAATGGCTCCCTACGTTCTTTATACCCATAGATTAGTGCACCTCCCAATCCTTAAACTGTGAGCCAAAATAAAATCTTCCTTCCTTAGATTGCTTTTGTCAGGTATTTTGTCACAGCAACAAGAAAAGTTACTAATACCATGATAATCACTGTTTTCAAGGTGTAAATTTTTCTCTGGAACTCATTTCTGCACTTCCTCTGATCACTACAAATTAATCTTTCTTCAAAACATTTATGCCCTTAACCACATAGAAAATGGAAAGTCATATGTGATAGTAGAACAAGTAGCTCACAGGGACACACTTGTCTCATTTAAGGTTTGCTGATTCTTTTTCACTCTATGCTTTTAGTATGATACAAGGAAAGATGAAGTTATCACTGTTAACATTATATACTTTCAGGATTTGCAGTGAGTTACAACTAGTTGATACTTTTGTTTTTCTTTTCTTTTCTTTCTTTCTTTTTTTTTGTTGGTCTTTTTGAGACAGGGTGTCCTTGTAGCCCCAGCTGGCCTGGAACTCACTATGTAGACTAGGCTGGCCTTGAATGAGATCTGCATGCCTCTGCCTCCTGAGTGCTGGGATTAAAGGCATGTGCCACCACACTCAGCGTTAAATTCACATTTTATAGAGATTTTCAAGTAGAATGTACCATGCAACTGAGATGAGGAATTATTTACCAATCTAAAAACTTTACCTTTGATTCCAAAGTTTTAGGACACTGTTTCTATATACTTGAGTATATTTTCTAAACAAAGCTTCATCAATGGCTACTAAGAGAGTGTAGCAGTTTTTCTATGCCTCATTGTTACACTTCTTATCACAATATAAGGACATAATGGAGATGAGGGAAAAAAAAAAGAAACAAACCTCCTCAGTATTAAATTTAAGCCATTTTTGTATTATCTTAGCCATTACTGCAGTTATTCTACTTTGCATCCTGAAACAAAATCATAATCCATACTTACTGAATCCACAAGGTTTTCTGTTTTATCTATCAGTAATTCCAATCTTTCTCCTCGTTGAGCAACCAGATCTGGAAATATTAAACAAATTAGAAATATTATAAATATACAATTTGGGGACCAGTGAAATGGTTCAGCAAGTTAGGGTGTTTGCCACCAAGCCTGACAATCTGAGTTTAATCCCCAGAACTCATGTAAAAGGTAGAAGGAGAGAACAAACTCCACAAAATTGTCCTCTGACCGCCATACACATGCTGTGCCATGTACAATCCCTATATGAATTTTTAAAAATTGACAATACAACAAGAAATTAAATCACTGATTTTACAACTTTCCACAAAAAAAATCAAGACCTAGATAGTTTCAAAGGTGAATTCTACCAAAAACATTTAAGAAGAATACATACCAGTTTTTCAAAAAGTCCAAAAACAGAAGAGAAAGGAACATTTTTCAATTTATTGTTTGGGGCCAGAATTACCCTAGTATCAAAATCAAACAAAGACATCACAAGAAAGGCTGGGGTTCAGTTGGCAGAGTGCTGGCCTAGCATGCACAAAAACCTGGGTTTGAGCCTCAGCACTACATAAACTAGGTGTTTGAGTACACATCTGTAATTCCAATACTTTGGAGGTAGAGGCAGGATATGATGGTTAGTTTCAATTGACAACTTAACACAACCTAGAATCACCTGGGAAAGACAGTCTAAATGAGGCACTATCTAGACAGTCTGGCCCGTGGGCATGTCTGTGGAGCACTGTTTTGATTGCCTTAACTGCTGTGGAAAGACCCGAAAGCAGACAGTGCCATTCTCTGGTTTGGTGACTGGACTGTAAGAGTAGAGAGAAAGCTAGCTGAGCACTAAGTATGCATGCATTTTTCTCTCTGACCTTGACTATGGATGTGATGTAACTAGCTACTTCAAGTTCCTGCCATTTTGACTACCCCACCACCACCCCTCTGCCGCCCCTCCCGCCCCACACTTCAATGGCCTACAACCTGGAATTAGGAGCTAAATAAACCTTTCCTTCCAGAAGTTGCTTTTTTGTCAGGACATTTTATCACAGCAACAGAAGTAAAACTAGAACACAGGAGGATAAGAAGTTCAAGACCATCTTCAGCTACATAGCAAGTTTGAGGACAGCCTGGGATATATGAGACTGCCAAAAAAAAAAAAAAAACTACATCACAAAAGAAGAAAAACAGGTTAACCATGCAATCAAGATCTACAAATTTTCTATGGAGGTTTACTAGCATCTATCAACATTATCAGCTATTTGGGAATCTCCAGACAAAATTGACAAAATTATTCAACATTCCTCAACTATCCTAAGGTTTCTGAAAACCAGACTTGCTACGCAAACTAACAAATTTAAAGAATACTTAGAAGCAATATGAAGAAACAATTCACACAAGAGACAGTAACAGTCAAGTAACCTCCCTATCTTAACTGACAATGGCTTCCAATGGTGAGAATAAGGAAGTGTTGTTTCAGCTTCTCTAGAACAATCTGACTCCAATCTAATAATCCACTGTCATTTGTGTTCGCATGAATGAAACTACGCCATTGAAACATACCTATGTTTCTGACCATGATTCCTTTCAGTTCATCCACTTGTGCTTGAGTCTCCATCACTCTGTCTAGGCCCTTATTCTCAGAGTGATGCTTCTACAAGAAAATAAGTTTTATTTTATGGTACTCAACATTATTCACAATAAGAAAACAAAGAGGAATAACAACGTATATTGAAAAATGATACAAAATTATGTTTCTATTAAATAAAAGACACATGCCACTGGAAAAAAAACATTAGATTTAAGGAAAATATTGGCAATATAAAAACTGTTATGTACTTTAATATAAAGCACTTCATTTTAAGTAAAATTAAGTGAAAGGTTTTACAATATATGTGAAATATATGAGTCTCTTATGGCAAAAGTGAGGAAGTAGATATGTGATCTGTGCTTATACAAAGGAAGGAAGGAGAAAATAAAAGATGACTACAGTAGGGGTGGGGACCAGCAGGACAGGACCCTAAATTTCCTCACTTCTTGAGAACAATGAATTAGAGACACGCCTATTTCTTTAATATGCTCTTCTAGGATCGCAGCATATACCTTATTTTCCACTGGCTTATTCCAAGATCTGGAATCTAAAATACTGATGATAGTATATATTTTTAAATTATTCAAAGATAAGAATAAAGTGCTTAATACACAATGCCACAGATAAATCATTATGCAAAGTACTTCAGATGAGATACTATTTAATCCACTAAAAAAAATTGTATGATGAAGATGCTTTCATTATCTCTATTATAGAGAGGAAACTGGTAGCTCAAAGGGTCTCACACACAGATCTGGAGCTAATGACAAACTAGTTATTTTGAACGTTTTATTGCCAGGTGATATTATTTACTCAATGAGAATATTTAAAAGGCAGCATAGGAAAAGTGAAAACTAATTACAAATGCACATTTTTTCATATTTGCAATCAAATCATAGAGGTTATGTCTTTGTGTGCTCAAATACTCTTCAAAGGTGCTCACTATCATTACACATCATGAAAACATAAAATAAAATTACAATGAGATACTACTGCACACCTAACAGAATGACTAAAATGAAAGAGACACCATAATGTTGACAAGGATGCAGAAACACTGGAACTGCTGGTGAGAATGTAAAATGGTCCAATAACTTTGGAAAACAGTGTGATAAAATTTTAAATTACATATCACTTACCATATGACCCAGTAATTCCATTCCTAGGTATTTACCAAAGACAAAAACATATGTCCACACAAAGACTTGTATGTGAAGATTCACAGTAGCTTTACTCATGATGGTTGAAAACTGACAACTACCCAAATATCTAGCCAACAGGTAAATGGTAAAACAATTGTGGTGTATGTATACAATACTGTTCAGTTAAAAACGAAATACACTGCTTATTTATAAAACATGGATTAGTATTGGAAGCCTTAAACTGAGCAAAACAAGACACATCAGAGTGCCTACTCCATGATTTCCATTTATAGGAAATTCTAGAAAAGACAAATAATCTATAGTGATAAAAATACATCAGTAATTTTATGGAGCAGACTATTGAGGAGGGAACTGACTGGGAAGGGAGATGAGGGAGACTTTAGGCAATGGAAATGTTTTCTGTCTTGACTATGGTGGTATTTCAAAGAATTACACACACACACACACACACACACACACACACACACACACCATCATTCATGTAAAACATTGCTCAGTTGACAACAAGGGATTTATGCCAATGAACAGATTTTCAAATGAACAATCTGAGGTGTTTCAAAATTAAACTTACCTAGTAGATGAGGAAGTTTATAGGTTAAAAAGCCATTTGGCATGCTTAGCGGATTTATGTATTCAATACATAGTCAAACTAGCTGATCTTAACATTCTTCCAAATCCTGATAGGCTGACAATTATTAATAGATAATATTATCATTTATTAGCTTTCTACACTAAAATGACCCCTTTACATCTTTTAAAAGGGAAGTTTTACTATGCTGACTTATAGTAACACAATCAGAAAAGTCTTCTACAGGTCAGAGCCCCTATATTCAAGATGCTTTAAGGTAATGAAGAAAATATGAATCAAAACATTGTATCCTGAGAAAGATCTTACCAGTTGTGCAGCCAAGACACTTGAGAACTCGCTATTCATGGCATATGGAAGTGCAGTCTGTGCTCTTGAACCGTAAGTAGTCTGAAACCTCTTCTTTACCTCATTCAGAAAACTGAAGGCTCGGGAGCGCTCAAAATCCTGTAAAGTGACCAATATCGAACTCATATTTATAAAGTAAATAAAGATGATGTGGCAGATTGACAAATAACTACAATAAAGTAGTCACTGAGCAATGACTTCATGAGGAAGAACTAGAATTGATTCCATTTTTGTAGATAAGGAAACAAAGACACCAAAAAAGTAACTAACTTGCCATAAGCCAAACAGCTAATATATGAAAGAGCTGAGAGTCAATTCCAAACATATCTGGTTACTGCTAACTAAACACAATGATACCTAGGTTATCTATTCTAGAGTTTAGGATTTTTATTTTAATTCTTCAGGCTATTTCATACGATCTAGTAGAATATGCAATAATACATAAAAACAGTACAGTTTGGGGGCTGGAAAGATGACTCAGTGGTTAAGATTCTTGTTGTTTTGGTTCCCAACACCCAAGTTGGGGGGCTCACAGCTACCTGTAACTCCAGCTCCAGGGGATCCAATGCCCTCATCTGGCCTCCACAGGCACCCACATATACATGGCATACATACACATAGACACACATACATAAATACAAATAAAAAATAAAATTTTAAAGAGTATAGTTTTCACATACAAAAATAATGTTACTGACACAAACTTTAAATTGAAATTTTCTAATAGTGACAATACATTTGAAAATATCAAGTGACATACCCTGTTCTACTCCCAGTCAAAAAGTTGTGTATGTGTGTGCAAAGTTTAAGAAATTTGATGCTCAACTCCGACCATTTGAGGTTCTATGATATTTCTCATCTATTCCAAGCATTTTTGCATCAGTTCTTTCAAATATAGCTAGACTTTATTGTAAAACCAGGGCTAAAAATCATTATGATGAGCAATGTAGTTGCTATAGCTGACAGTCATCTTAGTTTAAACCAAGGATTCTTAAACCGGGGTCAATGGCCAAAATTCAAGGGGAGCTTGTATTTGGATAGAAATAAAAATTGCATTTTTATTTTCACCATTCCTTAAATTTTTATTGTGAATGAAGTAACAAAACAAAGGAGTATTAAACAGTACCTATGGCTTTGTTATCTACAGAAATTCGTATGCTATCATAGTTACAGGTATTTTGAAGTAGTCTATATGCACCATCATTTCAAAATTATTATGTTATTAGGCTGATCATTAGGTATACCAATAAATTAATAAAGATGTACATTCATTAGTGTATCATTTAAAAGTATATTGTTATGTGGCATTTAAAAATATGTTGTTATACATAATCAGTTTTGTTTAGAATTATGTGTGCTCTTGTTCATATTTTTAACAACATTCTTAGTGTGACCACAGGTGATAAAGGGGTCTGCGACAAAGCTTAAGAACACTGATCTATAGAAATCATGACAATTCCAAGAATCTTGTCAGAGAACAGTTTAGAAACGAGTAAGTACATGACAGTATGACATGAAAGGAAGTTCACTTTAAAAGTAAGAAAAGGAAAGGGCATACTTTCCTCATTCATACAATAAGAAATAAAACAGTCTTATCCATACATAAATAGCCATATACCTACATATAATCATAAGGGGAACTTGTCTGGGAACACGATGACAATGAATAAAGGAGAGAAAATTCTTTGATGACATTATTAAGGTATTGAACAGTCTAGACTTAAAGCCAATAAATAGGAAAAAAAAACCCCAACCAATATGAAGAAGATTTACATAACTGATCATAATGTACTGTGATTTTGTTTTTCATAAGTAGATATATATTAAAATTTTATTAACTATTACATGGAGGAATGAAACAATTCAATATTCAAATGCAATAATTTGAGAAGCTTTAATACCAAACAACCATATTCATAAACACTAATCTCAATATACAATAGGATAAATGTAGAAGTTCCAAGAGATAAAGCAAAAACTATACCAAAACTCAGCTTT